TGCAAATGTTTATTTTCCGAGATTGCAAATGATGTTCCAAAAGCATCAATTGCCCTTGCAAACAGTTGTTCCAACTGTGCTTGCTCTTCTCTATTTGAGAAATCCATAAACCTACGTAAACTAGAAGTTGATGCGCTACTTGTTATGCTGACAGTTGTTGAAGTTAAAGCCTCGTCCACTTCACCCTGATCTGAAAATAAATGATTTGTTATGACTTGAATTGAATTCAACTTAACAAAAAAGCCCCTTTTACTCTCCGTGTAATAAGGCTTTAATTTTTAAATTTTGCCCTCCTCCCCTTACACTCACATCCTTTTTTAATATTACTGGGACATTTCAGACACTTCAACAAGTGTTTTGTCATTTTTGTTGCATTCTCTTATTCAGGGGCAAATCTATTTAGTGTTGTTAATATATTTTCTACAAATGAGTCAACCATTTCATTTACATTTGTATTTAAAGGCCATGTACTATCCATTAATACAAGCTGAAACGTCGTTACATTCATATTTGTTTAATTATGAAATGTTATTGTTTTATGGTTCTCACTGGATAAATCCTTATGAAGATTGACTGAAATTAGTGAGTGGTCTGTTATTTTCTGTTATTCACTTCATGATTTGTCAATAATACATAAATTTTTGTAGATGAGACATTTGTTACACATGTAAAATCATTAACTAATTGATAAATACCATATTTTCTGATTGTCATTAAGTTAATTTGAATAGAATGAGTTTTCTGCTAAACCAATATTATAAAGATACCACCGGGGTTTATGTTGCCTATAAAATCATCTAGCTTTTCCAAAAATTCAAAATGACTCCCACTGGGAGAATGGTATAAACTGTAGATGTAGTATTTCTTTTTGTGTACAAATATCTCAACTTCCGTTATCCACATGTTCCTGTTGTCCTGTATTTTTAATATTTCGCTGTATCTGTAAATATTAATGTACCACCTCTGTGTGTGTGTGTGTGTGTGTGTGTGTGTGTGTGTGTGTGTGTGTGTGTGTGTGTGTGTGTGTGTGTGTGTGTGTGTGTGTGTGTGTGTGTGTGTGTGTGTGTGTGTGTGTGTGTGTGTGTGTGTGTGTGTGTGTGTGTGTGTGTGTGTGTGTGTGTGTGTGTGTGTGTGTGTGTGTGTGTGTGTGTGTGTGTGTGTGTGTGTGTGTGTGTGTGTGTGTGTGTGTGTGTGTGTGTATGTGTGTGTGTGTGTGTGTGTGTGTGTGTGTGTGTGTGTGTGTGTGTGTGTGTGTGTGTGTGTGTGTGTGTGTGTGTGTGTGTGTGTGTGTGTGTGTGTGTGTGTGTGTGTGTGTGTGTGTGTGTGTGTGTGTGTGTGTGTGTGTGTGTGTGTGTGTGTGTGTGTGTGTGTGTGTGTGTGTGTGTGTGTGTGTGTGTGTGTGTGTGTGTGTGTGTGTGTGTGTGTGTGTGTGTGTGTGTGTGTGTGTGTGTGTGTGTGTGTGTGTGTGTGTGTGTGTGTGTGTGTGTGTGTGTGTGTGTGTGTGTGTGTGTGTGTGTGTGTGTGTGTGTGTGTGTGTGTGTGTGTGTGTGTGTGTGTGTGTGTGTGTGTGTGTGTGTGTGTGTGTGTGTGTGTGTGTGTGTGTGTGTGTGTGTGTGTGTGTGTGTGTGTGTGTGTGTGTGTGTGTGTGTGTGTGTGTGTGTGTGTGTGTGTGTGTGTGTGTGTGTGTGTGTGTGTGTGTGTGTGTGTGTGTGTGTGTGTGTGTGTGTGTGTGTGTGTGTGTGTGTGTGTGTGTGTGTGTGTGTGTGTGTGTGTGTGTGTGTGTGTGTGTGTGTGTGTGTGTGTGTGTGTGTGTGTGTGTGTGTGTGTGTGTGTGTGTGTGTGTGTGTGTGTGTGTGTGTGTGTGTGTGTGTGTGTGTGTGTGTGTGTGTGTGTGTGTGTGTGTGTGTGTGTGTGTGTGTGTGTGTGGTGTGTGGGTGGTGTGCGTGCGTGCGTGCGTGCGTGCGTGCGTGCGTGCGTGCGTGCGTGCGTGCGTGCGTGCGTGCGTGCGTGCGTGCGTGCGTGCGTGCGTGCGTGCGTGCGTGCGTGCGTGCGTGCGTGCGTGCGTGCGTGCGTGCGTGCGTGCGTGCGTGCGTGCGTGCGTGCGTGCGTGCGTGCGTGCGTGCGTGCGTGCGTGCGTGCGTGCGTGCGTGCGTGCGTGCGTGCGTGCGTGCGTGCGTGCGTGCGTGCGTGCGTGCGTGCGTGCGTGCGTGCGTGCGTGCGTGCGTGCGTGCGTGCGTGCGTGCGTGCGTGCGTGCGTGCGTGCGTGCGTGCGTGCGTGCGTGCGTGCGTGCGTGCGTGCGTGCGTGCGTGCGTGCGTGCGTGCGTGCGTGCGTGCGTGCGTGCGTGCGTGCGTGCGTGCGTGCGTGCGTGGGTGGGTGTGTGTGTGTGTGTGTGTGTGTGTGTGTGTGTGTGTGTGTGTGTGTGTGTGTGTGTGTGTGTGTGTGTGTGTGCATTTACAGACAAACTACTCACTGAATTGTAACCAGTAATGTCCGTTTCATTTTGGGTGTAGGTTAGATTAGGTTGAGAATGAGAGGGATGATTTCCACTGCGACCAAGATGGGTTTATTATGGCTCATGACTAACTTATAGTTCACCGTACAAGCTACATCTTGTGGTGAAGGCCATGGTTGAATTGGGTGAGACTTGTTTATTGTCGGTATGCTGTAGTCGAGTAAATCTGAAGATCTGAACCTGGTTCTTTCCAGAGTGGAGCAAGTACATAGAATGTGCTCTGCAAACTCGTCCTCCACGCTGCAGAATTGACAGTCCGATATTTGTTGCATACCTATCCTTCTCATGTGGTTGCCCAGACGGCAGTATCCTGTCGTCAGTCCCGTGAAAATTCGTAGATCTACTCCATTCTCGGATCTGAGCAGAGGCGTTCGTAGAAGGGTTGCTTATAAACGCTTTCGAATGAGTTACCCGTTGGGTATCTCTCCATTTCGTGAGTGTTGCATTCTTCGTCCATTTTGAGATAAGTCCTTTGGCAGTGCTCTTTGCAATGCCCAGGAATGGTTCTGGTCCTATGAACATAGATTCGGTTCCTATTTTAGCATGCGCGTCGGCTTTTGCATTGTACTCTACACCACTGTGTCCCGGAATCCAGATCAAAGTAACTTTGTTCCGGGCACCGAGACATTCAAGGGTATTTGTACAGTTCCAAACCAGCTTTGAGTCAACTCGATTGGAACTCAGGGCCTTAAAGGCTGCCTGGTTATCTGAAAAGATCTTTATAGTCTTGTTTGCGGGGAGAAAATTAATCAACTCTCTCGCTCCCAATTCTATAGCAATCATTTCTTCTTGGAAAATCGTGGCCAGAGAGCCTAGATTGCGTCTCTTTCTGGAATGAGGACGCTGTATGGCTTTTCTATTTGCTGTCGGAGAACTAGCGAGTCCAAGACCATGCCGAGGATGTGGTGGTTATTTCATTCATCAGCCTCGTCTTGTCCCATCGCAGTTTTTCGTAGCATTGACTACCCACCTTCAGGAATCTGTAGGAGACCACCCTGGCCTCCCTTTCCAGCAGAATGTGGAGAGGGGTTAGGTCCAGCATGCTCTCCATGGCTCCCGTAGGTGTGGTTGACATTGCTCCAGTTATGATGTGGCACGCAAGCCGCTGTATTCCAGCCAGTTTTACTCTGGCCGTCCGTTGGAGTCCCTTGTCCCTCCAGACGACAGAGTCGTACGTAACCATGGCTTTTACCACTGTTTGGTAAATCCAGTAGAGCAGTTGAGGACTGATCGATCCCTCATGCTTTGCCGCATATCCTTCTAAGGGTCTAGAGGGATAGTCTTGCTGTGTTAATGGTTTTATCCAATTGGGGGTTCCAGGTGAGTTTCTTATCTAGGGTGATCATCAGATATTTCACCTCCTCCGCAAAAGGAATGGTTTTTCCAGCCAAGGTAGGTTTTCGAAGCTTGTTCAGCTTTCTTCTTTTGGTAAAGGGGACGATAACAGTTTTGCGGGGGTTAACAGACATCTGCTCCCTTTCGCACCATCTGTTGATCGTATTAAGGGCTTGTTGAAGGATGTTGGAGATCAACTCTTCGAAATTTCCCCTAATTATGATAACCAGATCGTCCGCATAGCATTGAAAATCCTCCCCCTACCGGGAGAGATCGTCTAGCAGGTTATCCACCAGAATGGTCCACAGTAGGGGTGAAAGTATGCCGCCTTGTGTACATTCTCTGGCAGGCCTGAAAGTGACCGTCTCTCCCTGCAGTGATGAAGTGATGTTCAGGTTTGCCAGCATGCATGGGTGTAATCTTCAGTAACGTTGGTCTCTGAAAGGCATATAAGTAGTGGTTTATTTTTATTTACCAATTATAATAATACGGATTTATTTGTATTTAATCCTTGTATGTTCATATACAATATGGTTTTTTTCTAGTTGCTATATCTTTTGTTCACTGCGAATATCAGGGTAGTCAATTTTTTCCTGTAACTGATTAACTATTCTTTTATATGCCTCGTATATTCTGTCATTAGCCTTATGACCCATTCTTAAATTGGGAACTTTTAATATTTCTATTGCGTACCTACAGTTTGCACAGCAAATATCCCTTGATTGGCATTCGGTCCATTTATGTTCACCAGTACATATCTGACAAGTTGGTATTTTTTTACATTCATTGCTAAATGGCCAAACTTCCAACAATTAAAACATTGTTTTACATTTAAACTGTCTCTGTAATAACACCCAATTTGAATTTTTTCTTTGATTTAAATATACCTAAAAGAGTTTTTATACAATTCAAGAATGTTGTTCATCATACTTTTTTTATTCTAAAATGAGTGTACCAATTTTAAATCTCTGACACTTCGAAACCAGTCGCCAATAAATTGACTTTGTGAGAAATTAAGAACCTTTCTTTACAACATTCGTACTCGATCCCAACTAGTCATATATATGGCTACTCTCACTTCTAAAATTATTATTATTATTGGGGTTCTCTTTAAAAAAGGAACACAATTTTATTATAATTTTATTTTTTAGGCCACCGAATTCGATAAGGCGCGAGTCGTCGCTAGAAGAGCATTAGAAGCCATAAATATGACCTTACTTGATGAACGATTCAATATTTGGATAGCTCTACTTAATTTAGAAAACATGTTAGGTACCAAGGTATGCTCAATTTCCACCAACGCTATTTTCATTTTTTTCATATTCACTCGTTCTCTTTTAGGAATCGTTCGACAAAACTTTTGAAGAAGCTGTTAAATACAATGATTCGCTACAAATATATCTTAAAGTCATCAAAATGTTAGCCGAAACCGGGAAGTTAGCGGACATGGAGGAGAAAATTAAAAAAGTCCGAAACAAACATAAACAAGTACCCGAAATGTGGTTAGAAATCGCCAAAACTTATTATCAATTGAATAAATTCAAAGAAGCCAGAAATATGAAAGATTCCGCTCTGAAATCCATAGATAATAGAAAAACGCGTAAGTTTAAAATTATTACAAACGTTCTTTTCTTTAGTGAGTACATATACTTATTTAATTTGTAGAATTAGAAATAATCGTGAAATTCGCTATAATGGAGTTCAAGTTCGGCGATGCCAACCACGGGGCCGCCATTTTTGAAACCATCCTCAGTTCGGATCCTAGGAAAGTTACTATTTGGACGACGTACGTCGATCAACTCGTTAAAAAGGATAATATCGATCAAGCAAGGTAAATATTGAATATTGAATTAATTTTTACATCTCAAAATCCGGTCATAGTTTATTGCACAACATCTTTGAATACTGTCATTATCAGATGATTAAAATTACTATAAAGACAAATAGAGGATTTTAAATTCATAAGAAATTGTCTAAAATTATTGAGGTAGATAAAACTGGTTGCTAATTTATTTAGCAATTTAGCTGATATATAGATTGTGACACATCTTCTATTTTCATTTGTTTCATTTGAAAGTTGTTGGTGGCGCCAGGCGGTTATTTCGAACAAGGGTTGCTCGAGCGCCAGTTTTGATAACGCAGATACTTTTTTTAATATATTTTACTGGTAAAATATATACAGTGTGGAAACCATTTATGGAATAAAATTCTTTATGTCATTATTTTAGAAAATTATAAAAAATGCCGAGACATGTCAACTTTTGAATTGAGTTGTGCGTTATGTAAACATAAATTTAAATGTACAGGGTGATTCACGCAAGTATGCCATAGTCGGTGTTGTTTTTTTTTTAATGAAGCACCCTGTATATTTGCATACATACATTATTCAGTTTGTTGGAATCGGTTCATTAAGAGGATTTCAAAAATATGCAAATATACAGGGTGTTTCATTAAAAAAAAAAACACCGACTATGGCATACTTGCGTGAATCACCCTGTACATTTAAATTTATGTTTACATAACGCACAACTCAATTCAAAAGTTGACGTGTCTCGGCATTTTTTACAATTTTCTAAAATAATGACATAAAGAATTTTATTCCATAAGTGGTTTCCACACTGTATAATAATGTATCTGTTTCTTTTCAGGCAAGTATTGGAAAGATCAGTTTGTCAAAGATTGCCTCTTAAAAATATGAAAACGTTATTTATGAAGTTTAGAATGTTTGAGGAACAGCACGGGACACCGGAGACGGTTGAAGCTGTTAAAGAAAAAGCGAAGGAATACGTTGCCAAAGTTTCTTCAAACTGATTGTTAATTTCGATTTGTTTTTTAATTTTTACTTTTCACTTAAATATATAATTAAATTAGGTACATTTTTACTACGTGTGGCAAGTTTTATTTATTGATTAATCAAGATGGAAACGAATGTCTTCACCGCATCCTGATCCTGTTATTAACAATTATAATGCATCCTTTCGTTTGGCTAACTATTTTAATTCCAGGTAAGTATATAATATTACATTTTGCAACCATATTACTTCCGTATAATGATAAACAAAATTTTACTACGTCCTGCAATGTTGCCAAGTTTCCCTAATGAAACAATAACTTATATGTCAAAATTTGTTGAACAGTAAAATAAGATTTTTTTAAAATTTCCAAGCAAACAAGATTAGAATAGTGTTTCTATAAGTTTGAAATGGTATCTTCGTTTATTACTTATTGTACCTCGTTTTATTGATTTTATTAGTGGTTTTAATTATTAACTTTTATTAGTATTAATTTCAGTCTTCACAAATGTTTATATCGTAATATTTACTGAGAGTTTGACTTTTGTACCTGTTATTAAAAAATTTTATAAAAAATAATTTTAATTTTTTAAGGCAATAAAATATATTTGACACATTTTTATTTAAATACAAGTAAAATACATCTACTAAAAACTGAAAACAAGATATTTTTAAATGCAATAATACGTTAAATTAAACAGATAAATAAAATAATGAAAACTAGTTAAAAAGTAATAAAGCAGAATATGTGTGGATAATAATTATGATGATAATGGCAAAGATAAGGGTATGAATAATGGCGATAAAAAAAAAATAATAATAATAAAACGAAGAAAATTCAACTGATAGAACAAATAATGTAAAAATACAAGAAATAATAAAATTAACAGAGATCCAAGATCTAAATAGTTTTAAAAAGTTCAGAATATGGACTGATCTGCCTCGCAGAAACGGATCTGGAAAAATTTAAAAAGTGTTGTCAACCCTTGAGGGGTGGTACGCAACATACATACATACATACATAAATGAAATAAAACTTTCTGGCATATAAATTTTGCACAAACTCCTTCATCTTCAGCTCAACTTTATTTAGCAACTCTGGAAGAAAACTATATTTTTCTGATCACCATCATTCATTATCCATTGCCAAACGTCCATTGTACATCTATTATCATTTATCGTCCAACATGAATTATACCCCATCCTTCATCCTATATCCAATATTTATCATCCAATCGTACATTATCCAATTAACTATCATCCAATCAACTATCATCCAATCTTCTAATATTCGTCATTTGTCATCCATCATTCGTCATATGTAATTCGTGATGGGTCATCTATCATCATCCAACTTCTATTATCCAATATCTATCATCCAATCATCCATTATTCGTCATCCATCATTTAACATCCGTCATTCGTTATCCGACATCCATCATAATCCATTATCCAATCATCTTCCATCCAACCAACTGCCATCCAATCATCGATCATCCGTCATTTATTATCCATCACTCATCATCTATTATCCGTCATTCAATTATCCATCATCTCATTATCAATCATTCATCATCCAGTTTTCCATCATCCATCCCTCATTCATCATATATCATCTAACCATCCAACAAAACATCAATCAATTATCCATCATTCATCAGCCAACTTCCATCGTCAATTTTCCATCATCATCATCAATCACCCATCATTCATCTTTAATTATGCGTCATTTAGTCATCCAATTACTTATCATCCAATCATTTATCATCCACTATTAATCATCCATCATTCTGATGTTTTAAATTAAATAAAGATCTTTGGTAAACAAATAACACTAAGATATATTCCAATGTATTATTCAGGACATAAAAATATAATACAAACTGACATACATTTGACAATTATAGAAATAGTAAATAGAATCGCAAGCTGCGTGTTATTTTTAGGAATGTATAATTTTTCTGTAAATCCTGAATTTTTCTTGTGACTAATATGCTTGGGCAATGTATAGAAAGTATGAATCCAAAATAACAAAAACATACACTAAGTATTAAGCGGCTGTCGATACCTTCTAATAAGGCTCATTTCAATTTCTTTTTGACAAATTCATCTTTCATTATCCAATATATATCTTCCAATCATACATCATCCATTGTCCAATCATCCATTAGCAATCATCCGCTATTTGTTATCTATCACTTAATATCCGTCATCCATCATTTAACATCTGTCATCTGTAATTCATCATCGTTCATCCATCATCATATTTTGACTCCGCTTGAATTGTCATTTGAGCATAGAGGTGCAAGAACTCTACAAAAATATAACCTACAATACAAAAAAACACATCTTCTACACTTAAGTTTACTGCTCGCTTTGAGAGCATGTTATGTATCCACCCACTAACTATTTGTTGGTTAGTGAGTGTATTATCTTTGGGAAGGTGGTTTTATCAAAAGCACCTTCTATGTCTATGATAACACCCAAGGCGGACTCCTTATTTTCCAGGGATCTTTCTATCCGGCCAGCAATTAGATGAAGGGCGGAATCAGTAAATCTGCCTGGGGTGTATGCATGTTGATTTGGGTGTAGTGGAAGTTTGTAATTACCGCATCCCTTATGTATCTTTCGCATAGCCTTTCTTATTTTTTCATGGAAAACAATGTCGGTGTAGAAGATGTGAATATAAGAGCCCAGCTAGCACAAAAATATCCCATCTACGTTAATAAGCTGCAATTTAAGGCTCTTTAAGCTCCCATGCGATGTACTTTTAATGTAATCCTAATATCCCTGCAACTGCCGAATGTCCACAACGGCAAGACTTTTATAGCACATCTCACAGAAGTTACAAAGTGAAAAACATCACACTAGCAGTTTTACGGAACTTACCCCGAAAGTTGCTCTGAAACGTTCTATTGATGTTATAATGGGAATTAGTTCTACAGCATTATACAATGTGTCCACGGATGAAAATATTTATTTTAAATTAAAAAAGTAATTCTTCATAATTTCTTTTACTTGTTAAATAAATTCGATTCACATTAAGAAATAAAGAAAAATAACTTTTTAATTTAAAATAAATATTTTTACAAGTATAATTAAGTTCATCCGTGGACACACATTGTGTAATGTAATACAGAGAGGCTGAAATTGAGGCTATAGTAAAATCTCAATCAAGACATGAAAATTTCAAATAAAACAAAATATTTATATAAATTTATTATTAAAATGTTCTTGAAATCAAGTACCAATATCATAAAAGTAGAGGTAGGTATAGACGTGTTCTTTTATTCAGTGCTGTATCCAGCGCTTGCAGCAAACCATTCGTAAATTAAGTGATGGAAAGACGATTGTATGTGTCAATCATTCTTTTTCCTACGACCACTTAGGAAAGTGACACATATCACACTATATAGTCCTATGGAAAGTGTCCTATATAAGAATTTACTTTCCACCCGCGTATGAATATGCTACTTTCCGCAGTAGCTGTCAGAAAATGTCAAACACATAATTTCTATTTTGATCTATGTAATGTCCATATTAATACTAAAATCGATATGATTGTTAAATTATTGAAATTATTGTAAATTAGATCCTCTATATTTATCTTTAACAATTATTATTAAAATAATTTTAAAATAACTAAGATATATTTGCTTTTTATTCTGGTTAAACACATAAGCAATTAGATCAATTAATTGCCGTAAGGCCTGTTAGCTCAGTTGGTTAGAGCATCAACTTTGCAATTTGAGACCGTCCAGCGACCGCGATCGAATCCTGGCTGTGCCAGAATTTTTTTTTTTTTTATTTTTTTTTTGTTTAGAAATTATGAAAATTTAATAAATACGATTATTGTTGATTATTTTTTTAAATACATTTTAATTATTATAATAATCTGGTTTTACATTTTTTGATGAAATTATTTTGTGGTCGTAGGAAAAATATTGTACATCACTTGTGTGAAAAGTGATATTCCACACTCGTGTGATAGTCGCACTCGGCTTGCGCCTTGTGCGACAATATTTCCCACTCGTGTGAAAAATGTCACTTTCCACACTCGTAATGTATGTGGAGTTTCCTGGGACGATTCAATCTTTAGATCGTGGACCAAGAAACGGAGTAAAATAACGGGTCGAAACTGCTGGGTAGAAATATATTTTTGTCTCAAAAAGGTACAAACTCAAAGGTGAATTGTCTAATTGACGTGTTACCAAAAAAAAAAAACAACTAAAACAAGTTAAGTAACTATAGTTTCTCAAATACAGGATCGGCTCCAGACTGAACATGCCGCCCCCCTTGAAGTGAACAGAACTTCAACAATGTATAGGTAGGGTGCAGATTTCGGTTACAGCTCGTCTAATTGTGCCCATGGAAGTTTTTATTGATACCACTCTGACTACGTCATCGTGCCCTGGGTAAAGTTTTAGTATTCTTCTCATTCGCCAATTCATGGGTGAAGTTTTAGGATCGTTGAACCATTTAGATCTTACTTGAAAGTCATGAAGGTATTCCTTGGACCACCTAGACCAAAAGTGATGTATTTTGATGCCGATGACCGGTCGGTAAAATAAAAATAAAAGTGCTCCTGCAAAATAAATCTTTTTGTTGGTTATAATTAACGAAAAATTGTGATTTAAGTATCAATGGATTTAGAAAAGAAGGGACTATAAATACAACTAAGAATGTAAGTGATTATTATTTAATATATAAATTCAAACCTTTGAAAGTGGACATATAAACAATAAATACAGAAAAAGTAGATCCTAAAGATAAGTAAAGCGACTAGTATTGTTAGCAGTGGCGCACACTTTGGGAAATTTATCAGTGTATGTTTAAATCGAAATATGATCTATTTACTATTATAATGGACAAAGAAGATATAAGCAACACAGACCTTCTTCAGAAATTATTAGGCGTAATTAAAACAGAGGGCGAACAAATTAGAAAAGAAATAAAGCAAGAAATTCAAACTGAAAATGCTAAAATAGTCGAAAAACTTAATATATGCACAATAATAAGAGTTGATGAAATTGACAAAAAATACCAACTACTTGAGAGTCAATGCATCCATTTCGACAGACAACTCAGAAAAA